GATTGACCGGATTGGAGAGGGAATTAGTTGAAACGCGCGTAAATTGGGTCCGAACATTATTGACTGTTGAACAAAAAAAAAAAAGGAAAAGAAAAAGAATGTGCAACTAAAAAGTTGCATTGCATTGAGTTCTAAACTCTATGAGAATATCAGATTTCCCAATAAGTTCGATAATAGCATGCATACCCAATGGCCCAGTTTACTAAGAGGTCTGTTGTTCGTTCTGTTCTGTTACTCCACTTAGGTATGTCTAAACCATTGCTCATATGGTTGTCGATGGGCCGATTTTAGATGGTCATAGTCTTCGGCCCAGCCGACAAAGAACAATGCTGGGCCTGACCACCCCTACTTGCTCCTGGGTATAGCAGGGGACAGAGGTCTGAGCACGGGGAGGAGGAGAAAATTATTTGTTCACCCTATTAGAGGAAAAAAAATTTAATCTCTGTTCCCACCCTACAGACAAATTTGATCCCCGTCTTTATCCCCGCCACCATCCCCGTCTCTATCCATAATAATTAATTTATATGATTTTAAGAAAAAAAATTAATAAAATCTTACAAATGGTTCTGTAAGAAGAATGAAACCCTATTATATAACAAATAAATCAAAAAGAAAAAAAAGTAAAATTTTTTTTTTAGTAAAGAGAAGACTGTGTGTGTGTGGATAGATTGAGTTTGTGATATTTTATATATATTTATATAATAAATCAGTTATTAAGTTAAATTTTATCCCTTATACATTTTTCTCTCAAAAAATATCATATCACTTAATTCTATAACATGTTCAATCTCCCTCTCTATCTTATTTTTGGGGCAATTTTAGCCTTAAATCAACGACCAGCGACTAAGATAGGTGGCCTAAGTACAATGACGCCAAGACTCTGTTTTACATTGGCAACCAATCAAGGAAGTGTCTGGCATGGACAATTACCTAGTCACAAAACTCATGATAGAGAAACAATCCAATCCAATCCAATCTCCTTATATATAATTTTGTCCATTCTTTTTTATATTTTCATCGGCTCTAATTACTTATTGTTATCATTATGTGCACCACTTTTTCTTTTTCTTTTTTGCTAATGCTCTTTTTTTTAATTGTTGATTTTTTTTCTTGTAGCATAGTGCCTTCAAATACGGGTAATAACTAGTTGATAAATATGATATATGTATATATCAAATGATATATAAATTAACAAATAACATGTATTTCACCGCACATAATTAAATTTTCATCCATTTTTTCTCCCAATTTTGGAGGCATTAATTTTGTTAAGTTGGAAGAAAAGCTAATACATCTACTTTTCTATCCTTTCTATTTTCTTTTTTTACCAAACATGATGTTTTATCTATTTTTTCAACTTTCTATTCCTTCAACTTTTCATTCTTTCATTTTTCTATCATACTAAACAAAGCATTAATATCAGACTTTCACGTGTTTCCCAAGAGCATTCCTATCTAATTATACTAGTCAAGCTTAAAGGGTCTGGCTAGCTAATTAGTATCAGACCAAAACAGTTTCTTAAATGTAAAAATTGATTTTTGGTCGACTTTGAACTTAAATTAAAATAGGACCTGTCCGTTAATTTGAGTAAACTTTTGTAGGTTCATATTCTATTACGTGAGGAGAATAACGTAGTATATTAATTTGCTCAAATCGGTTAACAAATGAATGAGAAAATAGGCTTAAAGTGACCCTCTTGAAATGTAAAAATAGAGGTTGTGCAATGTGAGATTTAACATCAATCTCACATTAAGAAGTTCTAGATGGATATAAATAGGCCAATTTGCTCTATGAGATTTGGTTCCAAAGGGTACCATAATTTTATGAGCAGAGCGAACGCATACATTTTTTCAGTTCTACCATACGCACGCGCCGCCCGCCACGACTCAATCTGGGCTCGAGCATGGGTGTGGGTTAGATCACCCCCTATTTTTTTTGGAGAAAATTCGGTTAATTTCGGTACTTGTTACATTTGAACTCGTATTGGTTCAGAGGGTAATTTCCTTTTAGTTCGAAATTTTGAATTGTGTCTGTTCATAGAAAACAGTTACACAAGTGGTATCTTATGGTTGTTGCATTTGTCTTCTGGGTTGTGTCTTTTAGTATGGTGGTTGTTCGAAATAGTCACCAAACTGTCTATAAATACTCATACTCTCATTACCATTTTGCATTCACTCATTCATTCATCAGTCCATTTTCAGAATTAAGACAGACATTAGTACATTGTATTTCGGCATTAAATCAATCTACATTTGGAGAGTACACAACAAAAATTATGGTTCGTTGAACGAGTAAATTTGAGTGATACTTCTACTCGTGTGAAGATCATTGCATCCTAGAAGACAGACGCTTTATATTACATAAGCACCGTGTGTGGGGCGAAATTTATCTTAAGGACGTAGTGTCAAATACTAGCCTTGATCTACTTAAAGTCCAATAATAGTTCTTGTTCTACAAATAAGTTAGTATTTGTATTGTTTAAACAAACAGATACATCTAACTGTTTCGATAAGACTGTAGTAACTATTTTGTTAATTCTTTTGTAACTGTTTCGTTAATTTTTTTATAACTGTTTCAATTTTCTGTGTAACTGTTTCACACTTGATAGTTACTATTTTGTTATAAATTATATGTTTCAAATCAAAAATTTTATTTGGAATACCAGAATCAACAATTAAAATGTGCATGTGATTTCTCTAAGCGTTTTTTAATTACTATTACTTAATTCTTATATTTTTCCATCAATTTCTTTCCCTTTTCATTTTTGGATTTACCAATGGAACCAAGGCAGCAAACATGGATGGATCCTCAGGTTTCATCGATGCATAGACTAGCATATTTCCAATCAGTGTGAATGCGAGAAAATATTCTTAATCCCGACAACAATCGACATGGGACTTTCCGATACAACCAAATTGGCCCCGGGTTCTGGTGGTGCCGACACTTCATTCCAGCTATCAACTTGCAATTAGAACGAGCCCATGGGAAGATAATGGCCAATGGAAAGCGTGTTGAGTCTTTTTCCATGTCTGTGTAACTTTCATGAGTAAATATTCAAGATAATGAATTAATGACGACATTATTATGATAATATTATCTCAAAAAAAAAAGATTAATTGTAAGTTGTACCTTGAAAAATCGTTCAAATTTTAATTTGTACCCCCAAAGATCAAATATCTTAATTTGCATCCTCAAAAATAGAAATTTATATCAATGTGCACTCCTAAAAATAAAAAATCTCAATTTGCACCCTCAAAGATAAATAGAAATTTGTATCAATGTGCATCTAAACCTAAATTGATAAATTATACTTAGATCCTCTCATGTTTGTCACTTAATTAATTGGACCTCTTCACATTTAGAATATTATTCCTACATCTCATGATGTTTGTGCACGTGTAACACGTAATCTTTTTTCGTTAATATCTGTTAATATAATTGTTAAAAAATATAATTTTATCTTAATAAAAAAATATAATTTTATATTATCCTTTATTTTGTGGGTCCGATACATTCTAAAGTTCAAAATCAAGTTTACCATTTGAATATCCAAAATGTAGATATTTATATAATGTTTTTTTATATCCAATGATATATATCACTCAATTTGCAATCATTTATTCTATTAGACATTCAAATGATAAAATTCATTTTGAATTTTAGAGTATAGGGATTACATGTTATACGTGCACAAACGTCATGAGATGTAAGCATAATATTTTAAATTTGAAGGGATCCAAATGATGAAATGACAAGCCTAAGAGGATTTAGGTATAATTTATCAATTTAATTTTAGGTGCACATTGATACAAATTTCTATTTTTTTAGGTATAAATTGAGATTTTTGATCTTTGAAGGTACACATTGATACAAATTTCTATATTTAAGGGTGTAAATTAAAATTTTTTATCTTTGAGGGTGTAAATTAAAATTCGAATGACCTTTCGAAATATAATTTGTAATTAACAAAAAAAAAAAAAAACAATAAGTGAACTCTACTTTCGGGGTAGTTATCATGTATAGGGTAGTTATTAATTAGTTTATTTATTAATTTTTTATTGAATAACAATATTATGTCAAAGTTGATGACACGATACAGCAAAATCGACTTGAAATATCCGGGTGGCCCATCATTGTACGCCATATTTGTCTGGTTTGCCGATTTGTGTCTTCGGTCAATGTTAGATATGCATGGAATTTAGCACTGTGACTAAAAGAGTGATCGGACAAAGAAGGGAGAGGGGGTGGGGTATAGCATGGTTTGTCCCTTTAGGGTGACTGTGGCAGCTTCAACTCTTCAATAGTGCAGTAATGTATAACTAGCAAATAATTAAAGGGAGATGGGTCACGACTTCACATGAAATGGGTTTACTGTATAGATTCCGAATTTTTCAATCCTTCATACACTGGTGTAAATGTGTGTCACGACATGGTGACATGACTCCATTACAAAGTTAAAGATAAAAAAAAATTATATTGACATAAATTAAGAAATATTTAATTTATTAATATAAATAATAAATGAGTCGGCTTGTTGGCCAACAAGAATAACTTTATTTTGACATAAGAAACACTTTTAATGGATATTATAACAAAAAAAAAATCCTTTTTTTGTTTTAAGTTAGGACTAGTTTACAACATCTAACAAGATTTATCACACAAAGTGAAGAGAATAGAAACTTAGATAACCCCAATACAACATAATGTGACTTGATTCTAAACCCTAGTTTATGAGAGAATATTTAATAAAACGGTAATATCATGTCAACATTAATGCATAGTATCACCAACTAATAATAAAATTTTAAATTGACAAAGTGAACCCCATTTAATTAGTTATTAACTTACATTGAAAATAGTGAAAAGTTGCTTACATTGACGGGTAGTTATTAGCTTGTGTGAAAATCATTTCTTTATTTGTTTGTATATTATTAATTAGTAATACCATGTGACAATATTGGTATCACCATTGCAATGAATATTTTTCCCTAATTTATGGCATGAGATATGTTATATAAACCTGTATTTTTAGGGTCTGCAAGGAGCATGCCAATTTGGTTTCTCACCTCAAAAAGCCCATCACTCCATGCACCCTTTAAAAACCCCATCACTCACTACAAATCTCTCCATCACCACCAGACCCTTCTCTTGCTTAACCACTACTAGTAATCTCTCCACCCACACTAGCAGAGAATTTTTAGACTTGAGAGGGATGGGTTCCAAGAACACTGCATCACTTGCTCTCTTTCTAGCTTTCAACCTTCTGTTCTTCACCTTTGTTAGTGCATGTGGCACTTGCCCTACTCCTAACCCTAAGCCAAAACCAAAGCCAAATAAGGGTACATGCCCTAGAGATGCCCTAAAATTAGGTGTTTGTGCCGATTTGCTTCGCGGATTGCTTAACATTGTCGTGGGTACCCCTCCGAAAAAGCCATGCTGTAGTCTCTTGGGAGGCCTAGCTGACCTAGAGGCTGCTGTTTGTCTTTGCACTGCCATCAAAGCAAATGTTTTGGGCATTAACCTTAATGTCCCTCTTTCTCTAAGCTTGCTTCTTAATGTCTGCGGAAAGAAGGTTCCATCAGGCTTCAAATGTGCTTAAAACTTGGCTTGGCTTGGCTTGCTCTCTACAGTGTGGCTTTACATTGTTTAATAATTAATACCTTGTTCAATATCCAATAAGTTCTGTTGTAAGAGTGGTGGTGGGTTTCCTTTGCTATGTTTGCCCTTGGGACTTGTTTAAACTTCACTGTAATATATTTGCTTTTATCTATAAAAAAATCTCTCGTTACATTCGATATATTAGATGTGTGATTTTGTGGAGAGATACTAAATAAGATTCAAATTTAACTGATCAGCTTTTAGCATTAGTGTTCTTCTTCTATGGGAAACAAAAGATAACCAATTTCATACGTATATTTTTCTTAGTTTACGTGTAAAAGGACTTGGTATATATAAGAATGACAAATCGAGACAAAACGTATCACTCAACTTGGTAACACTAAATCTTGGAGGAAAAAACTTCACTCACGTCAATTGCCTTCATAGATTGTCGAGTTTGAATATGCTTGAATCTCAACTATGAATTCAAGCTTAAACCAAATTTGATTGCCCATCATAAATTTTTCTTTTTTGAAGCTCATATCAATACTCGATTGAAATTCAATTTCTTGGATATATTTTCCTTAAATCAAACTTACAACTTAATATTTTAAGTTGGATTTGCAACAATTATTAGTCACATGTCCAATATTATCGAACTCCACTTACTAACTTGCTGTCTATTCAGCACGTAAAAGTTTAGCAAAACCATGTTGCTGGTGATAAGTCCTTTCATAGGCCGTGACCTTTCACACGAAAAGTGAATAGCATTTTGTACCACAGAGTCCAGTGCGTGACTATCAATTTGGTGGTCACAGTTTTTTTATTATTATTATTTTGTACAAAATGTAAAGTTTAATAAAGTTGCTTTGGCATGTCTCTTGAATTAGTCAAATTAAATGGTCCACTTCAACCACTCTTTGCATATTGATCCCTTATAATTATATTCGTCGTTAAATTTATTAAAGATATAATAAGATCTATCAAAATATATCGATATTAATGTCGTTTAAGTAAAGATGAGTGATGCTGATAAACACAAGTGTTACATTTGTTATTATCTTTAAGTATTGCTCACCTTACAAACAGGCTTGAATTTTTTGTATACAAATACCATCAATGAAAGAAGTTGTGTTGTAGTTTGGCTCTTGTTCATCAAAAAAAAAAAAATACCATCAATGATACATCAAGCTAGGGCCGGTTCAGTGGTATAGCTATTGAAGCCACCGCTTTAGACCCCGAAATTTTACGGGCCATTTTAAAGAAGTTTTAAAAAGTCTAATGTTATTTTTAGGATTTTAAATAATTTTTTTAGATCAATAGTCAATTAAGTCCAATTTTATATTTAGTACCCCAAATAAAATTTTTAGACATAAGTTTCATTAAGTCTAATTTTATTCTTAGGTCCTGAATAAAATTTTTAAAACTCATGTAAGTCCACTTTTATTTTAAGGGCTCAAAATATATTTTGAGACTCAATTCAATTAAACCCAAATTTATTTTTAAAGCCTCAAATAAAATTTGTATACGCATGTTCAATCAAACTCGAATAGATTTTTTTGGCGCCTCTAAGAATTGGTAGGCAAAGAAACTTGTATCGCATTAGTGTAAGGGTCTTAAAAATATGTAAACAATACTCGAATAAATGCATTTGCATTTCAAAAGGCAATAATATAAACAATATTGTATAATGATTAAAATTTTAAAATTTATGTTAAAATTAATACAACCTCATTTAAATTTTCGTTTTAGGCCCCTATTTTGTGGTGGGCTGTCCCTACATCAAACTTTGTGTGACCAACTATGCATATATACTTTGTGGTTAGTTTTTTCTTTCTATTTTCTTTCTCTCTCTTATTTTAAAATTCTACAGGATCTTCAAATGTTAGTATTGATGTCAAACAAATACATTTTTTTTATATTTTTTGAATTGTTACTTTGCCTTTGTTGTGTATTAAATTTTAATATGGTACCGAAAAATCATACGTTTTCCAAATTCTAGAACCCCTTCATTTTATTGTGCAGAACTTCCAGTCACCAGAATCCAAGAAGGACACTGGATACAGTAGAAAAAGACAGACAGAAACGAGGAACCTTCCTCCTCGAAACCAACAAATTACAAAGTACACACGATTAAAACCATTGGCCACAAACACTAATGGCCATTAACAACATCTCAAACAGTACCCACTAAGCAATCCAAACACTGAAAACACCAAGAAAAAGAAACAAAAAGAAGACTGTAAAGTTGTTCAGAAACAGTAAAAAACAGTATTGTTTTTCTTCTCTATGCGCATTTGAACCCAGAGGGAACCTTCTTGCCACAATAGTTCAGCAACAAGCTCAAGTCCACAGGAATGTTAAGGTTAATCCCCAACACATTAGCTTTAAGGGCAGTGCAAAGGCAAACAGCAGCTTCAACATCAGCAAGACCCTTAATGAGGCTGCAACAAGGAGTTTTTGGTGGGGTTCCTACTACAATATTCACCAAACCATTCAACAAGTCAGCACACACACCCAACTTTAGAGTGTCAATAGGACATTTTCCCTTAGCTGGTGATGGTGTGGGTGTGGGCTTGGGTGTGGGTGTGGGCTTGGGGGTGCAGCACGGCCTAGGGGTTTTTGGCTTTGGCGGTGGTGGGCAGGGGACATAGGTGGAAGTGACCAAAGAGAAGAGGAGGTTGAGGGAGAGAAGAAGGGCAGTGGAGTATAGAGCCTTTGAAGCCATTTCAAAGTTGAATGAAACTTCAGAAGGGATTGGTGATATAGAGGCTTGGGGTTTGATAGGTCACTGGTGGTGAAAATGGTGGAGGGGGGGTTAGGCTTTTATAGATGGAAATAAGATTTTTTTTTTTTTTTTTTATGGAGTCCCATGTGGGCAGATTGGAAGGAAATCTAAAATATCTTAGAGAAGCAGGCTGTGCAAAGTTGGAGGATAAGCCTAATGGATTAAAAAGTTTGGAGTTTTCTGCAGCGATTCGTTGTCAATTCTTTCCCATTAAAGAAAATAAAATCTCCAAAAATCTAGTCATGGGAAGGAATTTCTATTAGTAGATTTAATGTGTTACACTATATCTTGTTTATCTTTTCTCTCGGATTGCAAGAGATTACTTTAAATGTAAAAGTGTATAGATGGAGTATTAGGGTGTAACTTGAGTTCAACCCGAAGATTTTTTAGTACTTAGTATGGGCTTGGTCAAAAAAAAAAAATTTAACAAAAATTGAATTTGGGCAATATTTGGATTAAGCCTTCAGATTGATGGGTTCAATCCAAACCCTATCTAAATTTAGAAAATCGGTTCAACTTGAAATTTGAAAAAAAAAATTATAAAATAGACATTTGCGCCGTAGTCCTTATCCATAGTTATTGATGTTTTTGAGCATATTACATATGTGATATTTATTTTGCTGTTTTCTGATTAGTTCTAATTAATATAATTTATAGAATTTGAGTTCAATTTCGACGATGAACACCAAATTGAATCCTATTTTTTGGCTTAATTTGAGTTTTGATTACTAAGAAACTCAATTTCAACTCGAGTTACAACTCAAATCATGTAACTTGAGATCAACCCGAATTCAAAAATTCAATCATGAGTTGGGCTTGAGTTGGAGTTGTTCAGATTGAGTTTAGATTGGGTTAGTGTCAAATTGAAGGTTTCATATCTTAGATTAAGTTTGAATTGATATCTTACTTACCTGAGTTGTACTGTATAGAGTATGTACTCTTTAAGTAACCACTTTATTTTTCTTTGAGGATGTGTTGTATAAATTGTTGCTTATCTATTTGGAATTGATACCTCAAATTGAAGGTTTCATATCTTAGATTAAGTTTGAATTGATATCTTACTTACCCATCCGAGTCGTACCGTATGGAGTATGTACTCTTTAAGTAACACTTTATTTTTCCTTGAGGATGTGTTGTATAAATTGTTGGTTATCTATTTTGAATTGATATCTCAAATTGAAAGTTTCATATCTTTGATTAACTTTGAATTGATATCTTACTTACCCACCCGAGTTGTACCGTATGGAGTATGTACTCTTTAAGTAACACTATTTTTTTCTTTGAGGATGTGTTGTATAAATTGTTGGTTGTCAATTTTCTTAGATTAATGTAACTATTTACTTACCCAAAAAAACAAATATTTTCATATAAACTACCACAGCTCAAGGTTTCCAAATTTTTTCAGTTGGCATTTGGCATTTGAAGGGGATTTGGATCCACTAGAGTCAGGGCCTACGAAAGAGAATTCAGTACTTCTTGGTCGAAGACGAGGTAGTCGAACAAACAGTGGAAGTTGCTCTAAGGTGGTGAATCATGGGGAGGAGACGGTGGCAGTAATAACGTTGATCGTTAATTTTGATTGTAAAAATAATAACAGAATTAAAATTACAAAACAACAAAGTTTACACGTGCCAAAATTTTGTTGCATAAAAACTAGAAGTACAGTACTGAAATATTATTATCGATTTCGTAACCAGACGCATCCTTGCACTTTTTTAGCATTCTCCAAGTCTGAACTCATCATAACAAATACTTACACAAGATTAGAGTTTGACAATTTATTTATTTATTATAGAGTGTATAGTCTTACGGTGACTATTTCCTCGAGATTTGAGATCAATCACCGTTGCATATTGTTTATCTATATGGGACATTTCTGAAAGACTCTAAGATGAAGACACGTGTTTTCGGTGTCACTAATCTTTGTTATTGAGATCACGTACCCATCGGTTCACAAAGTTCCTCTCCCCCGAGGTATTTGTCATAGGGATCAGGTGACATCCAGTACGTTTATGTACCGACACGTATCTCTCGGTCTGATATAGGTACATCGGTCGCTATATGTACCAATCCCCTCTCGGTACCGATATGTACCAATGTCCAGGATGATATTCTCTTCTCCTGCAGAGCTACTGATGTACAGGTCACTAACCTAGGCTAGGCTAGGTTAGCTATCATGATCTCGTCTTACACAATTGGAGTCAGAAGGTACA